AAAAAAATTTCTTTATAATGCAAGTTGAACGGCCTTCATCAAGTTTACGCGATAAAAAAAATAAAATAATAATAATAATATTAAAGCTCTCTCTAAATTTAGAAGCATGGTTAAATGGAGTAACACAAAAAAAATTATATTTTCTATCCAAATTTAGATGTTATTTTTGTATTTACTCTAAGAAATAAACGTCAAGATAACTTCATAAAATGCAATGAATATTTGCTTTTATTTGAACCTAGTGTCACTTTATCACATAAATAGTAATTGGACCTTGCTACATATACATTAAGTTTTACATAATGGATTATATAATAATACATTCCACTTTATCATTTATCAATTTAAAATACAATTCGATTTTTTATCCAACATTTTCCATCAACATCATTTTATGTCATCCCTTATATATCATTTTTATGTACATGTAGTTACATCATCACATATAACGCGATGGTCATTGTTTAATCTCGACGGTGAACTTCTTCCTTCATTTTATGTTTATATAAGGGGAGTGCTACATGTACATAATTGTCTACATAATGATGTATATAATTACCTGTGGCACTAGATCCAACATTTAATTCAAATCTTACACTTGCACATCAACAATCAGATGACTGTCACATCACATTATGGACACCATTATGTGCAATAATTACGTATAAGAAAAATTTTTCTTTATAAAACGAGTTACATAACAATACATGTCAATCATTTATAAATTTAAAATACAATTAAATTTTTTATCCAATATTTTTCATCCACGTCATTTTATGTCATCCCTTATGCGTCATTTTTATATACAGGTAGTTAGAGCATGGCATATAACGTGATGGTCATTGTTTAATCCCGATGGTGAACTTATTCCTTAATTTTATGTTTAATTAATATCCCTTTCAATTCGAAGAATATTTATGTCTTTTCCCCTTTTTTAAAAATTCATAAGAACTCCCAACTATGCCGAAAAAATATAATGCATTAAATATGCAGCTAGACAACCACTGTCATTATGTCAAGGTCAAGTGTCTATATTGCAATATAACATCTGATAAAACTTATGTTTTAACTTATTTATTTATAATTTAACTTCTATTTTATTTTTTCTTATATAATCATGTTTTTCTATATTTTCATAATATATTTGTAATTTTCTAATTTTATTTTTTCCATTTCTCCAACAAAGGCGTAAATATTTTTAGAAACTTTTGCATAAATTTTATGCATTCGAAGAAGATTCAAAATTAAACTGAATAAATTGCTTTGAACCAATGTCAAACTAACAAATATGTTGTTTGTACAACATTTTTTTTTACAGCAATTTTCACACTTCCTCACAAAGGTGGGGTCCACGATTAAAATGCATTTGTGCGCTATAAAAAAATGTGTGAAAAGTGATATACTTTTAAAATGGTTGGTTAAACTAAAGAGGAAGTAATTTATATTAAAAATAAAGAACTCCCACAATATTGAAATCTTCGTTGTCCAGAAAAGAAAGGGTTCACTGCCTGAAAATATAGGTGTAATTTGCACACGAATTAGTGCTTGGAGCCCGTAGAAGTACACTACCAATATGTACAAACCTTTAGTGTCACACTGAATTTATTTTCAACTTCAGAGTCCTTAAATAAATTATAAGAACGTTAGCCAACATTCAATTCCACAACAAAGTTAACGAAAGTAACCGTAAAGCTCCAAGAAGCAAGTGCAAAAGCTCCACGGGTTTGTAACATCTGTAGTCGGCTCCGTTAAGACTACTCTAAAGAATCTGAACGGAAGCAAAGCGTTGGGACCAATAATCGGCCATGATGCAAATTGACCAGGTTTGCATATTGTCTCATCATTCTCGTGTACTCTCAAGTTCAACCAATTCTTGCCATCCAAAGAACCCTGATAACACATCCATTAAAATTGCAAAAAATAGCATGCAAATATGAAATAGAGGTGTCAATATGGACAGGGCAGTCCAGTTTATCAGGCCTGACCAGGGGCAGAGCCAACACCATAAGAATCCCTGCAGCCACTCATGTTGGCTACGTCGGAAATTCATTTTTCCCTTATATTGGGCGCTCGCTCGAGCAACCAGCCCAACCCTTACATGCCCATGTGCCCGAAGGACTGAGCTTCAGTCCTCACCGGCTCAGCATGTGAAACGGCAGTGCCCCCCTTTTTAAACATCTAGTTATGAAGAAATATACTTCTAAACATGTACTTTACCTGAAAATTCCAACACCTTACGAAAGCTCTAGATCCGTCCTGCCTCAGCGTGTAATAATTGCACATGAGCTGCATTAATTTGATCGATAAATATCGATCAGAAAATTCTTCCTTCTGTACGTGCACGTTTGTAGGTAGTATGGACACTAGGATGAACAAGGTTTTAACATTTTTTTTTCTTTATATTGTCCAATACTATGAAATCCCCCTATCAAACACGCCACAATAGAACTATCCAAACCTGATGATCAGGGCCTATATCAACCATCCACCATGCAGTGTTTCTCCCATCTTCGACTCGAGGCCCGGCAAAAGATGTGCCCTAGTACAGAATAAATTTATTTCATTCATGTTCTAACAAGGAAAAATGTTAAAAACTTAAAAGCATACCTGGTAAGTCCTTGAAACCAAAACCTTAGGGTCGGTGTATCTTGAAACGGGACTACTTGCAGTAATGCTTACCCTCTGAAATATTACAGTATTAGTGCAAGGAACAATTTGATAATTCTACAAGAAACAGGCTAAAGAGAAGTTTATAAGTTTACCTTGGACAAAACGGGATTTACCCATTGGTGTTCCCCATATGATGTCCCCGCAAAATACAACAGTCCGTTGCTGTCTCCATCACATATAAACTGGAGCTCCCGAAAACTCGATCTCCTATGTTGAAATCTGACACTGCAAAGACAACCAGCATTTGTAGTTATTCACCAGAAATTTACATATTCAAGGTATATAAGAAAAAAAATCATCATCAGAAAGGATTTCGTGATGGCAAACTTCGAGTACAAAAACCACATCAGTGCACACCCCAACAAGACACATCACTCGTGATAACTAGTAGAGAATAAAGTGAGCAAATTTTGCGGATCCCTTATATTAATTAAAAGCTAGAAGAAGCAAGACGTTAAGGATTATCTAACTCAACAGATCTGAAACTAACTTGTTCAGAGGACATGGCAGGGAATAGACTAAGCGTCGTTAATTTGTGAACATCATCTGGATTTTCACAAACGTGAGCTTACTTGGAATATAAAAACCCACCAGTGGAAAAATTCTGAATAAAATCCAGTGTAAAGTGTGAATTGCAGGGCTGTTTACGAAAATTTTCAAGGCTCACCACCACCAGCTAGGCAGTGAGGGCTCATGTAGGCTACTTATTTTTCTGATAAAAATTTAAATGAACAAATCCCTTCCCATTCAAGGAACAAAATGTAGGGTCGTTGGGCAGGCTATTCAGTCCAACGCCCAAGAAATTCCCATCACTCACATTTTGTGAAAATACAGCCCCGCAAGCCACAGGCCAAGGATGCCTGGCCAGACATACACGCAGAGTTTTCCTGGGACAGTCCACACAGAATGGCCTAGCACGGGAACCCAAGATGAAAAAAAGGAAAGGAATTTTTGTTATGATTACATAGGTATAAGTTTATCAATTCTGAGGAGGATAATAGATACATCTTTGCAGTATTTCACCGAGAGAAGTAGAAAAGTTTTGAACTTAGTTTACTGTCTTATACTTACTTTAGATCTTTGTCAGGACCAGTTAATCCAACTTCCAGAAAAGAAATGGCCTCTTTCACCTGTGAAATGCTGTATCAGTTTCCAGAAGATATAAAGAATAATCTGTTTAATGAACTTTTGACCATAGATATCTTTTGTGCAAGTTTTCTCAATACCAGCCGACGGAAAGTAGTAATATGTCTCCTAAGGTTGCTCCTCTCCAGCTGCAATATTTTAACATTTTTTCACATTTAGAAAACCTCATATGACATTCTCAAGCATGTAATTTATATCTTGATGTTTTAAGGGCATACCAGTTTAAGCACTTCATAAGGAAGTAAGGGGAAGCGTACAAAACTTAGAAATAAGTCGAGAGAATTGAGCCTTTCACCAAAAATAAGCTCAGGCGTTGAATTCAGCAGCTTCTCATCTACTCTGTCCCATGCATTTAACTCCTTTGATTGGGAGCAATAAATTAAGATTGCATTAAGAACCCGTTCTTCACACGTTACAGTCAAATCTGGATGCTGCAATATACATATTATATTTGTTAAGTTCCCCGGCCCAAATGCCAATACTTCAACAAAGATAATATGCACTGACGTGGAAATCATAATCTTAAATTTCTTACCAACTTATCACAAAATAAGTCGGATATTTTATATATTTTAGTCAATTCACTTAATTTTCATAGAAAGGAACATATTTGGCCAAGCCTAAAAAAAGTAAAAGTACTGTTTTAATAAATAAGTGAACACAGTTAGAAATTAATTTTTCTTTTTTGGCAACATGTTATGGGGAAAAAAGAAGTTACTACTTACAATTAACTTTAAGCTTAGACGTGCTTGGCCAAGCTTAAAATTTACTTTAAGGCAAAATTTAATTTAAGGTAGTTTCACTTATTTCTTAAGGCGTATACATGAAAAGTAAATAAGTTTAAGTAAGATGTTCCAGACGGAGAAGATTGCTTTTGATGTTTTGTAATGTATTCTCTATTAATGAACCTTTGAGAAAAGAACTCACACCTTTGAGAAGAGAAGAACTCACCTGGAGAATGTTGCCAAAGGTTGCTTCCTCTAGCATGACAAAATCAAAGCACGCAGTTGTGCAGTAATCAAAATGCATGGAAAATTTCCTTTCACAGGTTTCTTCAATGAGTTTACATGAAGGAACGGACGAAACAACTTGCAGAACTGGGCACACAGAATCCTGCAACAAAGTCCAAAAGTTAGCCACACGTAAAGCTACCCAAATACTTTGCCAAAACTGTCTGCTTCCTCGTCCATTAAACTTGGCATAATAGAAAAAGTAGTTGTGTGACCTTCCTCAATTATGAGAACTCCATCCCTGCATATAATATATAGATGAGAGGTATTAATACTTTATAATTCATTGTCAAAAATGTTCTCCGCTCGTGTTCATAATCCTGACACTCCACCAATTCTCAATTTTCTAAATTGTTGTCCCCGTCTAGGATTTTGATTCAGTGATAAATAATTCAAAGAGAAATTCTTTGGACTCAAATCTGAACTATGTGACAGGGTTAAACACACCAGAAGTCACTAAATGTTTAGCAAAACTTCATGTTGGCCACTGAACTGAAAGTTTGTTTCGCTTTCTCTAAGTTCAACTAACGGAAAATGTGACATGGTAGTCAAGTTATTTGCCACCTAAGCTGCCGACTAGACTCCATGCCAATTTTTTGTTTTAATCAAACTAACCAACATTACCAAAATGATCAAATTGTAACACACGTTTAAGTTCAGTGAACTTCTTTTGATAAAAAGTTTTAAGTTCAGCGACCAACTTGAAAAAAATAGTGACCACTATTGTTTTAAGCCCCAAAAGATCAAGGTTACCATATTACCTCTGATAGATGTTCTAAAAGTGTTTTGCAACACTCCTGATGAAGAAGAGTAACCCCAAACTGATCCGCTAAGAGAAGAAGCTGAAGTAGCAAGGTATCTACGAGAACCGAGTCTTCTTTGTAAACTTCTCCACCATACATGAAGTCCAGCATAGTTGAGAATGCTTCAAAGCAGACATCTTTAAAGCAAGCCTTCGAGGAAGCACTCTCACTCATTCCATTTGTGAACATCTGCATATTTCAATATTTCCACCATTAATCACGTCCTAGTACAAAAAAGTTAGAGAAGTGTAGAAAAATTCACACTGATATTGAAAGTACATGAGGAAAACTCTAAACCTTCAAATTTTTTCTCCAATGTATTAATCGAATGGTATATTTCACTCTTTACTTACAAAAACTCTTTCAAAGTACGATTTTGCCACATCTTACTTGCTTCATGCATTGCACATTAACAAAATCATCCAGTTATCAAACTAAATAATTTATTTTCTTCATGAGCTTTAAATTATGTTTTTCATTTGGCAGCTGTAGGGGGAGGTTTTCATCAAGATATATCAGTTGGTCACATATTCATAATAACCAAGACTTATCAAGTGCATTCATTGCTTCCATGAAATTTCATGAGTGATCAATTACCCTACTAAATCTGACACACAGTTTCTATAATTTATTTTACAGGGTGGATCGAGGGTGATAGTGGGAGTTTGGGGTAGAGGGTCTATAATCTTTAGGTAATGCAGAACAATCCAGTTGATAACTTGAGACCAGTTGTGTACATGGATTCTTTTGTTGTGACAACAACTTGTCGCTATAGTGGACCAAGCATGCATTAATGTTTTATTATATGAAGAAAGGAACCAAACAAGAAAGTAGATTAAAGTGAGTGTACCTTTGTGAAAGGGTAACTCCATAAACCAAGGATGATCTTATGTGACCGCGCAACAAAACCATGACCTTCAATATAAATGTCTACATCACTGTATTCACCAGTTGAGCGAAAATGATTAAGCCTCTTCACGTCAATGGGTAATCTGTACGGGAAAACAGTGTTGCATGGGAGCCAGGAGCTTTGATATGATATCTCCACGTTTTTACCAGAGTTAAAGAGCTTCTTATTGAGTTTAAAGCGCTCTATCGTTTCTTCACATCTCTTGACCAAAGTCATCACCTCAAACCGCAAGCTCAGGGCTTTTAGAGAACTGAGATGTGACTCCGGAATCTACATCAATTGTACATATAAGAGCCATTAGAAATATTGACAACGCTTTATGAAAAAGCAATTACAGTTAAATTCAAAATAAGCATCATGGCAATGACAAACCAGGGAATGTATGTAGTTTATGTAGTCTTGATGCTCAAGTACAAATGGACAGTTAAAGCAAAAATCTATGTGTCAGAAGCAGAAAGAGTCAAAAGTCAAACTTCCTCGTGCACCAAAATCAACTGCAACGAAGCAATGTATATACTCTAATTCATCATGCAACAGACAGTAATTGTTCCATGGATTTATAATAAAGTACATTCAGTTATGATAGATCAGGATTGAAATGTTGAAGACAGTTTAGCAGAATCTTCTGCACTTTCTTCCTTCTCATTAAATGGTAATGCTCTCTGTTACTCTATTTAACTGCAGAAGTAGGAACTTGTAATGCCAAATTAATAATCACTAAAATAGAACAGAAAAAGAAAAATACTCATCATAATTGAATATATAAAAGATATTTCACCAGAAATAGAGACCAACCATAGTGTGACCAGTGTATACATATTCAAGAAGTGCGTGGAGCACTGAATAGCTAACATCTTGGAGATGGATGACATCTTCATCTGAAGAACTAAAATCATGAAACCCGGATGCCGCCAATATGACCTTATGCGCCGGGACAGCCCTTTGCTCTGTTCCAACAATGAAAAACACATCGGAGAGTTCCCAATTCTCGAGAAATTTTTCAAGCCCCCAATTTTCATAATCTTCAAGATTTTCTTCCAATTCTTCTTTCCCATCATCCACCCCCTCGTATTCGCCACAATCTACGTGCTTCCACAAAGATATATGGTTTTGCGTGAGTGGAAGAACATTAACATTCCGATACCCAACATGTCTATCCCAACTACTGAGTCCAACATACTGAACACTACAATTCGGATTCGAATCAAGCCATTGAAAAACAAGATTCTGAAAAGGATATCTCCCCTTTCCAATGCTAATCAACCCATCAAATATGCTAATCCAATAGCTCTGAAACGTCGATGAACAGTAGAGATCAACTCCGGCCACATCAACTACTGTTTTCCCATCAACCTCGATATGTAATCGCTTATTTCTATGACTACCAATAATCACAGTGTAGTGTGGACTATTATCCCTTTTGTAATGGTAATGCTGACTCCCTGCCTGCTCCCTAAAGACAATTGTGACATCGTTGTGCGCAAAAGCATCAAATGCTACACAACCCCTTCCAGCTTCCCTAAACCTCAAATCGTCCCGCCAAGCACACTCGAAGGGTGCTACGGTAAGAAATTTTTTCTGCCTTTTCTCCATCAATTATCCTTGATTGACAATAAATTTTTCTTCACTCAACTGAGACTACCCCTGAAAAGAAATCAACTTTAAATGAAAGTCCAGATCAGCAACTTGCTATTGGATAAGCTGTCCGGAGAGAGAGCTGATCCAGTTGAATCTATCACAAAGAAAAGGGAAGAAATTGACATTTTATAGAATGCTAGAAATATCAGACACCACAAATGAACTCCACTATCTAGGGCCAGAAAAAATAGCATTAAGATCTTTAGGCTATGTTTGGTATGTCAAATTGTCATGAATTAGATTGACAGACAAAGTTTTAACTTTTCTTTTCAGGACAAGAAAATTGGCAAAAAAAAATCTTCCTTTTAATATTGTTTAATATTGTGCAGTCAGAAGTACCAAACAAAGAAACTGCTAGAAACCAAACCATCCTACTGCTGTAAATTCTACACCACATTCTCATCCAAATTCCAAGAAATATCTTCTGAATCTGGGAATTACTTATATAAAAATAAAAAAATAAAAAATAAAAAATTAAACTAGACTAAGTAACAAAAAATAAGATTCTGAAGAAACATTCACCTCAAAAGAAAAACCCACAGTATGTTTGAGAGGGAGTGGGGTTTACGGTAATGGGTAGAAGATTGGGATCAGAGGCTGACAGAGGGACCAAACAAGATGGTATCGGATATTCTTTGGGATCCAAATTTTAATGGTGAATATGTCAGGAGACAGTTAGGGAGATGGTGAAACGTGTCACTGACACAGGGATTTTGGCATTAACACGCAACGCAATCAGATCTTTCTGTCCCTAACATCCTAGTCGGCTTCGATGGCAATTTTTGGATCTGCCCAGACCTAAATTTTGGACCGCTAATTATTTTATGGGGAATTTTCTAAAATGTCGCAAAATTTGAAATTTCTAAAAAAATTATCATTTTCACTTTATGTGAGCAAAAATATCATTTTTTTTGGGATGAAATGTCCAAATTATCCTCAATGACACATTTTGATTAGCATTTAATGCTCGATTTGAATGAAAATGATTGTGTTGATGTGATGATTTATTTTGTATATAAAAAATATGGATAAATATGTATTATATTGATTAATATGAATTTGTGTTAATAAAAAATGGTAAAAGAAATTAACAAATGAAAAATGAAATATAAACAAATATATTATCTTATTCTCTTACAAATCCTAACTTTTCTTCATCTTCTTCATTTTTATTGATTAATAAGACATTTTCTTGCATTTTTCATCCATTTTGAGATGATAGCAATTAGAAATCATTTATATTTTATTTTTTTAGCATTTTGTTTTGTAAATGTTAAATACAATATGGACATATTTATTTGAATAAAAGTATCATTTTTTTGGGATGAAATGTCCAAACTATCCTCAATGACACATTTTGATTAGCATTTAATGCTCGATTTGAATGAAAATGATTGTGTTGATGTGATGATTTATTTTGTATATAAAAAATATGGATAAATATGTATTATATTGATTAATATGAATTTGTGTTAATAAAAAATGGTAAAAGAAATTAACAAATGAAAAATAAAATATAAACAAATATATTATCTTATTCTCTTACAAATCCTAACTTTTCTTCATCTTCTTCATTTTTATTGATTAATAAGACATTTTCTTGCATTTTTCATCCATTTTGAGATGTTAGCAATTAGAAATCATTTATATTTTATTTTTTTAGCATTTTGTTTTGTAAATGTTAAATACAATATGGACATATTTATTTGAAATTTTTAAAACTATTATGTATTGATTTGTTTTGTTTTGGAATCTTTCACAAAATTTCATTATCAACATTAAGGTTTTGAATAATTTCTTTCATATAAACCAAACAATGTTTTGATTAAATGTCTATTTAATGACAATGTCAATCTGACCTTTTTATTTTGTCAGTTCGTAGTTCAATAGTAATGTCCACACTTAATGTGCTGAAGAAGCCTGAGTTCCACCCACTGCCGTCTGCTTTCCAAAATTTTCGACAATTCAACTATCGAATTTGACATTTACAAACTGTCAGGTTAGACGTTTGAAATGTCAAACCCGACATTTACAAACTGTCGGGATATACAATTTTACTCACTTCAAAACGATGGAAACCTTTGATTTGACATTTTGCTATTGTAGGGATTTATGTATTATGCAGTGTCACTTTCATGTGATTAAATTTCAACATATTGATTCTGCAAAATTCTTACCGTTGCAATCCCAACATTTCAAATATGAATAATCATTTGCGGTTCATCGCGTCGTGTGAGCGAAAGTTTGTTCATGCGGGTGACGAATGAAAGTGGAGTGGGGACAAAATCACTTCTATTCTGGTCCGACAAGTTCAATATTTTTGTTCAAAGGAGCTGCTGCAACTTATCTGGCCGTACAGTTCGAACGATTTGTATCACCCACACTGCCTATCGTTTACGAAAATTGTGAACATTAAATCATGCGTACCATTTCATCTTGATTGGAGCATGGTACGCATGACATTTTAAAGCACGTAGAAAGAAGTGCTCATTATGTTTTGAAAGATAATGATGATCGATGATATTACCGTAGTTCACAAATGTTTTCGAGTGACACAAATGTGCACATATTCATTTCAATCATACATTTTTCAATTGGATACCAGTTGTAATCGATAAATCGAACGAGTTTCGAAGGCAAGAAACTTATAAAATGCAACCAAACAGTCTTTTTAGTTGGATACCAGTTTTAATATCTAAATCAAACGAGTTCCTAAAGTAAGAAACTTATAAAACACACCAGTTTTCATTTCAATTGGATATCAATTTTAATATCTAAATCGAACGAGTTCCAAAAGCAAAATACTTATAAAATGCACCGAAAACAATTTCTGTACTAACATTTTCGTACAAAATCCAAACAGATGACTTTCACATAAACAGAACCAACATTTCTTAAAAATGAATATACATTAATGTAAGAAAAAATGTTCTTCCATGCATTCTCAGCAGTTACCAGAAGTGGACCGTTGTGAAGGTTGTTCTTTCTTTGACAAGAAAATCAATTGGTTCCACTTCCCATTACATTTTCATGAACGTGTGCACCAACATTTTGACACTCGTTCAGTTCATGAGTACAAATCTGCACATATATTACCTAGGCACAACTTATCGAAAATTCGCCAAATCATTCCTAATATTTTATACATGTTAATGTGAAACACTCGTGCAATGTTATGATTAATGAAAGTTCGACTTATGCATTCTCAGCAGTTACCAGAAGTGGACCGTTGTGAAGGTTGCTCTTTCTTTGACAAGAAAATCAATTGGTTCCACTTCCCATTACATTTTCATGAACGTGTGCACCAACATTTTGACACTCGTTCAGTTCATGAGTACAAATCTGCATATATATTACCTAGGCACAACTTATCGAAAATTCGCCAAATCATTCCTAATATTTTATACATGTTAATGTGAAACACTCGTGCAATGTTATTATTAACAAAAGTTCGACTTGTGGAACAGAGCAGAGGTAAGAACTAAACTGTCATTCCCAACAGTTCATCTTTCGAGAAATACAGAAGCTAACTGTCGGGAACGACAGTTCAAACGCGATGGAATTTCTCTACATTAGTGACATGCCGACAGATGAACTATCGAGAAATCTGCTTTTTACCTCTACGCAAATAGGTAATATTGAAAAGCTACTTCACTACATATTCGAGCCTAATGAAAAATTAAAACCACAGTTATGCTGTCAAGCATCTAAATGAAATTGTGAACATTATGGTTCGTACAAAATATGGAAAAATAAAGATTGTGGTATATAGCAATTGATCAAATTATAAATTGTCTAATTCTATGTCATCACAGCATGTCCAATATAAAAACGTTCAATTTAATTTGAAAATTGGACAATAAAAATAATAAAATTGATGTCAAAGAAAATCAACAACCAAAAGATAGCATTTTCACCTTTGTATAATATTATTAAATACAAGTTAATAAAAAGGAAAATAACTCAAAATGTAATTAACACAACCCATAGAAACCAATAAAGATTTGTATACTATTAAATGAAAATCGCAACAATAGCCCAGATAATATTTCGAATAAAAAAAGTAAATTTAAAAACAAAAGATGAACTTAAAAACCCTAAAAATGTTATAGCATGTCCAATATAAAAACGTGCAATTTAATTTGAAAATTGGACAATAAAAATAATAAAATTGATGTCAAAGAAAATCAACAACCAAAAGATAGCATTTTCACCTTTGTATAATATTATTAATTACAAGTTAATAAAAAGGAAAATAACTCAAAATGTAATTAACACAACCCATAGAAACCAATAAAGATTTGTATACTATTAAATGAAAATCGCAACAATAGCCCAGATAATATTTCGAATAAAAAAAGTAAATTTAAAAACAAAAGATGAACTTAAAAACCCTAAAAATGTTATACCCGTGCAAGTTTATGAGTGAGAAAGAAGAATACAAAAGGAACAAAAAAAACAAATTGTACTCACAGATCATGTAAATATAGAAAATGGGATGATAACTAATCACAGGTTTGGCTTTATGATTAAATGAAACTCTGAATCAAACCCAAGAGTTTGAATGTAGATATGCAAAGACAGAAAAAATGATAAAGAAAACCGAAAATATGGTATTTCGTATCAAGGTAGAATCTAGGAAAAGGAGGAAGCTCACCCACGCAAATCCATCCCCGTCTGTATGTCTAGAAAGAAAGAGGGAAGGGAATTGAAATTAAATGTGAGTGTTTCAATGAATGATGGCACGGGATTGTAGTTTTGTGGACTTCGTTGGCGGTCGAGAGTAGAACGACGGTCGGCGACGACGCTATGGTGAACAATTGAAATGAGAGAAATGAGAGACACGGTAAGAGAGTTAGGGTAAATGGGAATGATAGATTGGATAGTGATTTTTGAGTTTTGGTACCCTTTTTTCAATTTTTTTTTTAAATTGAACTGACATGCTGCTATTTTGGTACAATTTTTTGCAGTTGTCAAATCTCATTTAATTAGAACATGCAAGGTATTTGAAATTATTTAAAGGGACAAATATGTTTAAAATTGACATTCTTGTAATGCCCAAAAAAAAGTGACACTTCTATAAATGTTAAGGGAAAATTTGACATCCTCTGCAATTTCCTCTTATTATTTTATTTATGTAAAGATTGGATCTCAATTTATATCCACTTGTTTAGTAGAACAATATACAAATATCAAACAATCATTTAAGTTTCCGTTTGGCTCCCACTAAATTTCATTATATTACATTTCATTTTTTTATTTCTTATTTTCAATCACACAATTTTCTATAAAATAATATTATACGTAAATCGAAAATTTTCCCTTCCATTTCAACCACTTATTTTTCAAAAAAAAAACAATATTCCACGCATTTTCATTTCTAGAAAAATGAGAGCCAAAGGATGGCTAACTCGTGTTTGGTTTAAAAATTAAATTAAATTTTTAATAAATTTTGAAAGTGATTGGTGAAATTTATAATTGAAAAATTGATAAAAGTTGTAGATTTGACAAATTATTTCATTTAACATAAATTTGTAAAAAAATCATTTTAAATAATAAGGGTCAAATACGGATTTAGTCCTATCAAACGTAAAAAATAATTTTATTTTGCTACACGTACATCGAGATTGACACTCCGGTGTATACTCCCCTCACATGGGGAGATTTCACGATTTTTTTATTGTCATGGGGCCCATCCCCTCATGTGAGGAAAGTGTACACCGGAATGTCAACTCCGGTGTACAAATAACATTTCCCTTACTAAAAACTTAGCCCTTGTTTGAGTATCATTCTTTGAAAAAATATATATATTTTTAAACAGTATTTTGACATCATTTCAATCACATATTATTTAATAAAATAATATTAAATATAAATCCAAAACTTTTCTTTATTTATTAAGCACATACATTTCTCATTAAATAGAGTATTCAAAAATGCATTTTTTTTTCTCCAAAATGGAACTCAAACAAGGGCTTAATTTTAGTAAAACCAAATAAGGGCTTAATTATTTTCGTCAAATCATCCAAAACTAGAAGAACACACATTTATAATGATCAATTGTGTAAATTTAATCTACATACATATATTTATACACACACACAATGCTATAAAGTTTCACTGGAGTTACAATCGCAATTTAAATGGCATTTGATAATAAGTTGAATGAAATATGAAATTAAATGACTTATTTAATTCGACCTATCATTTGATGTTACATTATATATATACACACACGTGAATTTAAAATAAAAAATTAATTGATATTTTATCACTTACAATATTCTTGAACATTTGTATTTATTGAATGTTCAGCAATCCCGTTGTAGTCTAGTTGGTCAGGATACCGGCAACGAAAAAATTTTGAATTTTTTTTTTCTCCCTTCGGCACCCACAAGCATAATTTACACCCCGTTTGAGCCTCATTATTTTTTATTATAATGTTTGGATAGTGTTTTATTTGAAAAATGAGTGACTGAAAAGTTTTTGATTTACGTGTAATATTATTTTATTACACGTAATATTATTTTAATTTAATGTTTTGAACAGTGTTTTATTTGAAAAATGAATGGTTGAAAAGTTTTTGATTTACGTGTAATATTATTTTATTGAATATTGTGTGGTTAAAAGTATGAAAGAGAAAATTTTAATTTAATGTAACGAGAAATAATGAGGCTCAAACGAGGCTAAATGTTTTTATAGATTTGTTGCAAGTCGAAAAAATAAAACGAGAAATTAAATACTATCTTCCCCTTTATCCTTGTTTCTTGGCCTTTGCATATCCAGGATACAAATGGGTTAAGCTTTTTCTTTTTCTCTGTAATAGAATATCCATTTACATTTAATTTATTATAATTCTTTATTTGTGTCAACAAGGCCCTGTTTTATATGATTTTCGTGATGAAAGGGAAGGAAAATATTCAAGAAAACCTTTGTTTTTGAATACAAGGGGATAAACACGAGTAGGAAAAAATGAAAAACCTAACCTCGGATGAAAGTTTCAAATTAATGTATCATTTCCATTTCGTCCTCGTTTTTTTGTAAATGAGTCTATTTGCTTCTTAGTTATAGCTAATACATCTTGTTTTTCTTTAGTTTCTTATCAATATATGCTTTTACTCTATGCTGTAAAATAACAGTGTTATTCTATTGTTGCCAATATTTCTATTTTCTGTTGCTTCTGCAGATTTCACCTAATAATGGGCTTAACAACACGTAGAAGTTCGAGAGCGTCCATAATGGATTTACCGGAGCTCATCATTTTAGAAATTCTGCTATATCTGTCCATTAAAGGGATTGTAATGTGCAAGTGTGTGTGCAAAACTTGGCAACATCTAATTTCTAACCCTCACTTTGCCAAGCATCACTTTGCACATTCAAAAGCTGGCATTCTAATCCGACCCTCGGATGTTGGACGAATTTCAAGAATGCTTTACTTTATGGAGCCATCTGTAATCAGTGTGATTGAAGCTGGGCAGCAAGTAAACTTGAAGCCTGATACCAAATTGAAGACTCCTTTGCTTAATGTTGACGCTCAAGCGATTGCTTTCATCGAGGGGAATACTAAGAGGAAGCGAACTATTAACCTGGATACCAAGAATCACAAGATCAGTATAGTGAATTCGTGTAACGGCTTCCTTTGTTTGTTTGAGCGCTCCCATAATTAGGGGTGGGCACGGGTCAGTTCGATTCGGTTCTCTTTAGAATCGAACCGAACCAAAATTTTCGGGTATCTAGTAAATGGAACCGTCGGGTCCAAATATAATTATGCATCTGTTCGGGTTCGGTTCCGTTCGATTCTGTACTATAATTAAATTTTTTAACATTTATAACAACATTATATAAATACAACTAATGATATATTCAATTGTTTTGGAATGCCATAGACTAGTAGACTATCTTGTTCAAATGATCGCTACAGTCAAAATTTCGGTCAGCGAAGGTCGCAACTTCGATCGGAGGTCACAGCATCGGTCGACGATTGTATAGGTTTTGAAATGTCAGCGAGGCTGCGAGAGTCGAGACAACGTTATGCACTTTAATGTAGGTGTTTAGAGTTATTTAGTGAATTGGATCTTGTTGGGCTAAGAAATGAAACAATAAAATGGGTAATGGGGCCAAAAATTAAAAAATTTGAAATGAAACAAGTTATTGGGCCAAAAATTTGGATTTAGAATTTGTTAATTTGTTTAGAAAAAATTAAAATTAAAATAATTTAATTTACTCAATATAAAAAAAATTAGAAATATTCGGTTCTTCGATTTTTGGTTTAGAACCGAGAACCGAACCATGCCCGTCGGTTCTCAATTTAGATACCCGTTCGAGTATTTAATTTGACAAGAACCGTCGAGTTCGATTCAGTTCAGTTTGAATTCGGTTCGGCTGGTTCGGTTCGAGAGATTTGCCAAACCCTACCCATAATAACCCAACCGTTGTATGCAATTCGGTCACAAATGAGTATATAGAACTTCCACCAGCTATCAATGCTGATGAGAGTACGGTGACTTGTGGATTTGGATTTTGTCAACTGACTAATCAATATAAGGTTCTTAGAGTGTTGTCTCCAGGAAAAAATCAGCTTGCGAAATCTCAAATTGAAGGAACAACATTCTATCCTAATAGGGTGGTTGAGATTCATACCCTTGGGACCAAAACATGGAGAAACATTGGATTTGCTCCCAGCTTCCAATGCATAAAGTCTCCAATCTATCTTAATGGGTCCTTCATTGGATCGGTGACGGACGTAGCGGGAATGATCTTGTACTCTCATTTGAGTTTAGCAGTGAGTGCTTCAAATCTCTTCCTCTACCTTCAATTAATCGTCCTAGTAGAATAAGCTTGGGAATTATTGGAGATAGTCTATGTTTACCTGCTACTTCTGGGTTGATTTGATTGACATATGGGTAATGAAGAGTTGCGGTGTTCAAAAATCTTGGTCAAAGTTGATCTCTATCAATTTTCCAACACTGGGGAGGTGGAATTCTTGCTATTTCCAGCTGATAGGCTGCTGCGAGAAATTTTTTACATTCCTTGAGAACCAGATAATATATTATGATCCTAAAAGTGTAGAATTGAAGACTCTTAAGCTTCATAGGATGGGATTTATTTCTAAAGCAGTTGTGTATACTCCGAGTTTTTTCTCCCTCAAGGATGTGACAGGAGCTAATACTAAATCGATGCAAGATCATCTTCTTCTTGGCATTACTTCATGTACTAGCTATTTTTTAATTTCATTTGTAAAAGATATTTTAGTGCTTTATGTTGACTACCATCGTCAATCCTTCCTCCTTTCAAACCCTCATTGACCTCATAAACCAATTAAGCAGGAATATAAAATATCTACATTATTAGTGGACATCTGGGTTGTTGGTCATGGTACTATATTTTGATATCCATACCTGATCTCTTATAAAATATTTTCAAATTATATAGTGATCCATCCACGTGTAATTTGGATGCCACCAGTTATAGTTGTTGATATTGAGTGATATTGCTGTTAGGAAAATTGCTACATATTAGAGTTAATATCAATACTTCCATGCGAAGTGCACAATAGTGTCTCAAAATGTTTGACCGCTACAGTTGATTTTTATTTTTATCTCAGTGTCAACCTTCTGAAACTCATTTCATGCTATGTTATCCAACCAGTGCACTGTTTATTTCATAATATAGATGTTCTTTTGCGAGTTTATTGGGTTCTTACTATTTAAAAATAAATAAAATAAAATCCTCCTCTCAACTCTGGATGAGAAGTGGAAACCATCTTAAATAACGAAAAAAAAAATACAGATATGAAAAGGTGGTCAGTATGTTGATTCAAATTTTGATTGATAAATTTCTCCTAGACATGCATTTCAGAATATCAAATGTTTGTACTCCAATTAGTTACCTGATGACGTCTGTAGGGAAATTAATTGAAAGTGATCTCAAGGATACTGAAATTTTATGTACGTGATTCTATCCAATTTTGTTCTTCAAATAATTTGGATAGACTTGGTAAAGTCCTATATCTCTGTGAACATCATCTGCA